GACCTTTATTTCGATTGCATAGTGTATACAATAATTATTACATCAGTGAAAGAGAGAGAGAGAGAATTCGACACAACAAATATCTACAATAATCGCGAAGATCAACAATAATCGAGGAAAATTGAATTGTAATAATACGCGGAATATGTTACGGAATAGTAAAATTTATCAAATCCTTAAAGCGATAGTGAATAAATTACACGAATGAAATATGCCCGGCATATTTTCATCGTATTCAACCAGCAAACAACAAGCCTGGAATTAATACACCACCCTCCACGGCGAAACATAATCGTATCGATATGGAAATGAAGCACTTTGTGCATTTCCACGTATCGCGGATTGTCATCAGAAGAGATCTTGCACGATCTCTGCCTTTTGTCAGTGTGTCACATTTGAAAACAACTGGGATGCATTTCCATTGCAATGCAAAAGGAGGAAACTTATGCAACCAGACGAGCTTTGCTCGAGATCTCTTTTTTTTCACTATTCTAATTTCTCTCTCTCTCTCTCTCTCTCTCTTGCAACATTATGTTCCAAATATGTATCTTGAAATTCCACTGGGTATGCTCTCTGAACCGTAGACAATTGATTTAAGAAAATTCCATCATGCACGTTCCTTCGCTTAATATTTTTATAAATATTAATTCGCACGTGGTGGTAAATTTCCCTTTCTTCGCGAGAAGCAACGTCTCCTCTGTTTTCTTTTCTTTTTTTAATCGTAAAATAAATTTGTAAAATAAACACAGAAATTGTAAAATAAAATTACAGTAATTATTTCTTTTTTTTTTTTTTTTTTAGATTCATAGACATATCTGATAGATTGAACATAATGATATCGAAGTATTTCCTTTGTCACTATATCGTGCAAATATATTCCACACGCTGTATAAATATTCACAATCATTTCGTTTAATTTTAATTTCATCGTACAAAAGTCGCTTTCTTACAACACCTCCGTAATACTGAATTTATTGTAATTTTCCCTTGTAATGTTCCTTGGATTGAGACGCGTGATAATCTATATCGTTTATCGTGTCGTATGAAATATTACGCTTGCAATGTTTCTTTCGGTATTCGTTGGAAGGCTGAGATATCGTGGTATTATTTTTTCAATAAACGCGATGCTAGTCATTTCGTTCGAGCTGTGCTTCTCTGTGGACGTGTGCGCATTGTTTAAATTTCGAGGGATTTCTGCTGCGAACTTTGCCGATCGTTCGCAAATTGTGCCTTTAATCTGAAATTGGAAGCGCGAAGTTGCTCGTACGAAGATAGTTTCAGTGATACGCGTACGATGAGGTGAGGAGGTGAGGAGGGGAGGGGAAGGGATGTAATCTTGATTTTTTTATCACGCCAAGTATAGTCTGCAACTAGGGAATCGAGTATTCAGAAACTTCGGCACTCTACATACATACGCTAGAATAGCGTTCGATAGAATTCTTTGTTCGACTATTCGTCATTGTTGAGACTTTGATACTTTCGTACCACCAAGTGCATTTAGATACACGTTTCTTCCTTTTTTTTTTTTTTTTTTTTTTTTTTTTTTTTTTTTTTTTTT